TGTGGGGAGGAAGGCTCCCTGCCCCAGCGCCGTGGCGTAAGTTCTGCTGTGCACGTGCGGGAAGCCGGGGGGCACGAAGGCCCCTGCTCCAGCATAGCCCCCTCTTTGGTGCTGAGGCAGGGTATGGTAATCCTCCAGATTATCGTACTGGGACACCACAGTCATCGTGCTTTGGCGCTTGCCCAGGGTTTGGTACGGGTACAGCAGGGCAGAGTCCCTCTCCATGGGCTCGGGGTGCTCCCGCATCCGGAGGCTGTGGCTCCGCTCAGGCTTGGGCGGCGGCGCCACCGGAGGAGCGGCGTGCTCCTCCTCCTTGTAGCAGTCTCTGGAGTGCTTCTCCATGGGCGCTCTGCCTCGGGGCCTCTCCAGGTCCGGCCTGTCATCTGCCAGCCTCCCCTCCTTGTGGTTCAGCCTCAGGGTCTCCTGGCTGGCCGGGATGTACTTGCTGCCCGAGTGCTGGTAGCCCATGGGCTCAGAGGGCTCCGGGCCGCCCTTGGGCCTGTACTCGGGGTAGGGGGGCCCATTTTTGGGTTCGGAAGGCTGCCTATGGTTGGCTTCCTGCTGCAAATACGTCCTGTGCTCGCTGCTGCTGCTGCCTGGCTCGTGCATCTTCCTGTTCCTGATGCTGCTCTGCTTCTGGGGCAAGGACGGCTTCTCAGGCTGCCCGTTGCCGTAGCCCCCGCCGTGATAGAGGGCCCGGTCCAGCTCAGGCTCCGCGTGCTGCCCGTAGTAACGCTCGTCCCCTTCGGGCGTGGCTGCCTTGGCTGGGTACCTGCCCTCCTTTCCTTCTGCCACCGTGAGCAGGCCGCTCTTGCCAGGATCTGATTTGCTGCGCAGGTGGACGGCATCCAGGCCCCCCAGCTCGTCCTGCAGCAGCGGGGCCACGTTGTCGTACTGGGACATGAGGGGCCCTTTGACCTTCTGGCGCGTGCGGCTCTCCCGGCGGATGGACTGCATGCGGTACTTCTCCATGTCCTCCAGGTCCCAGGACATGTACATGTGCTTGATGTCTGGGGCGGGGGGCACGTCCCTGCTCACGAAGCTGTGCTCTTTGCCCAGGTGGTTGATGAGCCCTGCCCGGGGGTAGGCGGCCAGGCTGGGGTAGCGGTACAGCCCCTTGCCCTGCAGCCGGGACACATAGGGGCCGAACTCGCGGCCAGGCAGGCCGTGGAAGGGCCGGACCCGCACGGTGCTGTAGGGATCCAGGTCGTAGAAACTCCCGTCGGCTGCAGTGTAGTAGGGGGAGCCAGAGGAGCTGGAGTAGGGACTGTAGCGATAATGGACCCGCCCGTTCTCAAAGTAGGGCTGGAGCTGCGTGACGTGGTAGTCGGAGTGGGGCTGGTACGGCTTGTATTGGTAGAGGGGCCGCGGGCAGTACACGGGCTCGTCATCCGGGGGCACCTCCGTGCGGGAGATGGGCACAGAGCGGATGGCGGCGGCGGCAGCCGGGCCGGGCACATGCAGCGACTGCACCCTGCGGATGGTGGGGTACGGGGGCGCCTCCTCAGCATAGCTGGTGCCCCGAAGCCCCATGGGGCTCACGGAGGACACGAAGTCGGTGCGGCTGCGGGGCTTGGGGTGCAGGCCCGCAGCAGAGCCCTTGCCCTGCGTGCCGTAGGAGCCGTAGCGTGCGCCCTCGCTGACGGGCGGCTCCGGGCGGGGCGGGTAGGGTTGGTGCTGCTCGGCCTTGCCGTGGTAGCCGTGGGCAGGGACGCCCTCGGGCCGGTACTGGTGCTTGGTGTGCAGGTAGCTGTCAGGCCCCACGGGCTCGGGGAGGCTGTCCGTCTTGGGGTGCGGCACGTACACCGGCTGCAGGGACGAGTGCTTGGGAGGCGGTGGCGGCGGCAGCAGCGCTTCCTCCATGGAGGACGCCAGCATGGACGAGGCCAGGAAGGAGTGGTAGTTGGAGTTGTTGATGGTGTCTGTGTTGTTGGAGTGCATGGCCGCGGCGATCTTGCTCTCCAGCGTCCTCACGGGCGGCACGGGCGGGGTGAAGCTGTACGAGGAGGGGGCAGGGACTGACTCAGAGCGCAGGTGCAGCGGGGGAGCCCTGGTGCTCTCCCGAGGCTTTTCCAAGTGGCTCTGGTGGCCCGTGGGCACGGAAGAGGAGCCACGGGCACTTGAACTGCTCTCGGAGACAAAGCCAGGCGTGGGCTCCGGGGGCTTTTCAGGTGCAGCCGTGGTCCACATCTGCAGGGAAGAAACCAGACAAAGTTAGGGACAAGCAACTTTTTCTCTACTGTTCTATAGTTAGAACACCCCAGACACTTGTATGGATCAACTCCTTCCCAGCATATCTGTGCCTGGTTTCTTTTTGCTGGGGAATGACAGATGTGTAGGTTCCCTCTCTCAGCATGGGCAGGCATGATGCCACTGGCAGCTTTTGGGACCCATCACAACTTGTGTGTTCTGCAAATGCCAAACCAGAGGAAGGAGAGAAGGTGGCTGTCTCCTCACACGGCACCCTCAGTGTTTTGTTAGGTGATCTGCTTTAAATGTCTGATGTTAATGAAAATGTTCCTGGATTTAACCTCCTCAGGCCCCAGTGAACAGATCAGGAACTGCAGGAAAGTAGAAATTCCTGCCTTAAATGTAGCTGTGGGGCTTAGGATGGGCTGCAGACAGGAATGTTTCATGGACTGGGGGGGTTTGGATTTCTGATGGAAATGTTTCAATCCTGTACAAGCAATCTGACCTGTTTTGTTTAACAGAATCACAGAGTTTGGAAAAGACCTCTGAGACCATCGAGTCCTACCCAAGACCGATCACCCCCTTGCCACCAGCCCAGAGCACTAAGTGCCATGACCACTTGCTCCTTGGACACCTCCAGTGATTGGGACTCTACCAGCTCCTGGGGCATCCCCTTTCAGCACCTCATCACCCTTTCTGTGAAGAAATTCTTCCTGTTGTCCAACCTAAACCTCTCCTGGTGCAGTTTAAGACTGTATCTTCTCATCTTGCCACTGACTGAACAAGAGCCTAACCAAGATGCTGGAAGAGGACCTTGTGAGAAGATGCAAAAATTCTTTCTGAGCATTCTGAACTATCAACCCCTCTGTTAGCGACCCCTGCAGGTGCTTTTTCCTTAAAACCAAGGAGAGTGGGTATTCTGGGATATTCCCTTAGGAAAGCAGCACAGGAGTTCCTGCAAGGCTGTGTCTGTGTTATACCCACAACACTCCTGGTTTCCTGCGAACCCCTCCCCACTGCCATTTGGATTTGGTCCCCAGCGCTCAGAGGAGCTGTGCAGGGAGCAGCACGTACCTGCCCGGAGCTGCTGGGTGCTTTGGCCGCTGGCACCTGTCCCACGGCTGCCTGGTGCTCCTGTCTCTGTGCCGGGGCTGCGGCCGCGCGCGGCGCAGGCGGGACGGCGGCGTCTGCCTGGGGGGCGGCCCCGGGCGGGGCGCGGGGCTCGGCTGCCGCGCTCGGGAGGGTGCTCAGGTACGGCACCGCGGCCGGGGCGCCCTTGTCCCCAGCGGCACCCACGGAGGGAGACTGCAGCTTGTCCTCGGCCGTGCAGGGAGCGTGCAGCTTGTCCCCAGCCAGGCCCGCGCGCAGGTGGGGCTGCTCCACAACCAGCTCCGTGCCGCACAGCTCCCGCTCCGGCAGCGTCCCGGGGCCGTGGAGGGCCGTGTGCTCCCAGTCCCCTACGTGGGCAGGGAAGGGCTCCTTGTTCCCCGCTCTGCTGAGGTGGAAGCTGGACTGCTCCTGCTCTGCATCCCTGCTGCCAGGCGTGTCCCCGGGCAAGCCCGTGTCGAGAGGCGGGGGCTCTTGGCCTCCAGGTGCGCCGGGCGGGTGGTTCTGCTCCCCAGCCGTGCCTTGGCAGTCCTGCTCTAAAGGTGCCCCGGGCTGGAAGTGCAGGCGGTTCTCGGGCAGAGCAGTGAACAGGTGCAGCTTGTCGGGAGCGCCCGCAGAGAGATGGAGCTTTTCTAGAGCTGTGCCAGCTTCAGCCTCTCCATAATTTGTGCTTTCAGCATGAGCATCTCCTGGCCTTTTGTGGGACTGGGCGGATGCTTGCTGTGCGGACTCGGCTAACGCTAGGGCCAGCATGCGCGCTGCGTTTTTCGGAGGAGGAGGAGGGATAAGAGACACAGAACTGACGGGAACAGGATCCTGGGGGGAGTCGAGGGCAACTGCTCCTAATGGGGGGAAAATTGAGAGAGAGAGTGATTTTATGTTACCCAATAAGGAGAGTGACCTTAACGACTATTATAAAAAAATAGAAGCTCTCCACACTTTCACAGTGGCAGTTCCTTCTGATGTGAAACACTTTTGTCTCACAGGCAAACACTGCTTGACAGCACAGCAGTTCATGACAAAGAGGAAAAAACCCAAGAGATTGTCTAAAGGCTCCTCTTGCATTTCTAGAGGTAGGAAGGAGGTAGCAGAGAATGAGATACCCTTACACAATTTTGATCATAAGATTTTAGGCGGAAAGGTCCCTTCTTCGAGTGTTGGCAGATTTTTAATTTAAAAAAGGAAAAGTCTTAGATGGTCTATTGGTTGAAATGACTGAGAAGGACATGCTATAGATTTTCATGTGTGAGAGGATGGGGAAAAAAAAAGCGGAATATAAAGCATTATGGAAATTATCCAAGATTTGTGTGATGTAGGGAGAAGGCAGAGGTTAAGACTTTACTGATCTGCACAGCCCTGTAAGACACTCGTGACCAGAACTGACGGGCAATCCCCTCTCCTAAAGGCACGCAGAGGAGGACGGTTCTGAGAGCAGGTCCCCTTTGGAACTTAAAGAAAGAATGGAGGAAAATGCACTGTACCTGGCTGGGTGTGTCCACTGGGTACAGTCTTATTCTGACTGCTTGGCATGGCTCTCTCCCCTTCTTCTGGCAACTCTGCTTTGCAAGCAGCCACTAGCTGGGGATGCTGCAGCTCTTGGTGGGCTCCTTCCCCTGTTCCTGTTTCACTGTTTTTCAGGGGCAAGGACATCTGGGTTGGGGACCTGTTTGTGATCTCAGTGATGCCAATCTCTTTGCTCCAGCTGGAAGCAGAGGAGTTCCTGGATGTGGTGGGCACTCCTCCCATGGCCTCTGGCACACGGCTGGGTAACACAAAGGAGGTGGGTTCTGTGCTCAGTGGTGGAGATTTGATGGGCTTTCGGGCTGTCTTGGGTGAGAAGCTGAGGGGTTTGCAGGCCTGCTCTTCCGTGGGACTCAGCTCCAGCGTAAAGAAGGGACTCATCTTCTCCTGGAAAGGGGACACTGGCTCAGAACTGGTGGCACTGCCTGGGGTCTGGGACTGGCTGCCTGATTCTAAATCCTTCTTGAGCAGGCTTGGCTTCTCCTTATTGATATCAATGGCCTCCAGCAGGGAGGTGCTGCTGTCCAGGCACTCAGACTCTGCCTGAGGGGGGCTGCACTGGAAGGACATGGGGTCGAAGTCCAGGCTGGCCATGCCGATGTCCGGCGGGCTGAGGTCCACGTCCTCCGAGGAGCGCGGAGAGATGAGGGCGGGGACATGGATGAGCCCCTCGTCCCTGTCACTGTCGTCATGGGGGAGGTTGTCGTAGGAGTTGCAGCGGTTCATGTTTCCCAGGAGCTCCCCGTTGAAGGACGCAGAGAGGGCATCGCTGCTGGACCTGGGCCTCCTGGGCCGGAACAGTTTGGATTCACCTGGAAGTGAGGAGACACTGTGGGTCAGTGCCAAGACCTCCTGTGCAGGAGGCCAGGCCCAGTCATGGGGGGCAGTTAGAGCAGTCCCAAGGCAGCGAGAAGCTCCCCTGCTGATCTCTGCACACAAAGTAACATCGTTGGCAGCGACTGCTTATTCCATTTGCTTAAACTGTGTTACAGCATTTGCCAGGCATGATTTAGTGTGAAACTAAGTTGTGTGCACAAGCAAAGACACTTTAAATGTGCTGAAGGCCTTTCTCAGAGAGCGCTTTCCTTCACAATCCTGTCCTGTCAACCTTGAAATAGCAAGGGGAGGAGCCAAGGAATGAAGATAAGCAGCGCCAGCTACACCAGAGCAAGAGGTTTGCTTTTTTTAACCTTAAAAGCAGGAAAAGCCATGAACAGCATTTCTGTCAGCCCCATCTGTGCTGAGAGCAGAAAGCTGCTTCATCAGTTAGCAAGTTCAGCTTCCCCTGGAGGGGTGGAAAACCTGCCCTGTTGAGTTATCTACAGCCAGAGATGTCAAGTGCCTCCCTTAATGCCCTTGGAAGTGCAGGTAGGGTTTTGCCTTACCATCCACGGCATGCAGGGAGGTGAGGGACTCCTCACTCTTGGCCGAGCGGAGCGTCCCGCTGTCTCCTCGTCCTCCTGAGGGAAGGAACCACACAGGGAAAGGGGTTTACATTTAGCTGGATAATGGCGGCAGAAAAAACGCAAATGCATTTCTAACACCAACGTCACTGTCCTTAAAATTATTTTTGTTTTGAATGTGGGTTTCTGATTCTCATTTTACTTGGAAATGGTAATTGACCCAAGTGATGACTGCTGCAGGTGACAGGCTGGGAAACAATTCCCCACAAGCAAAGCCCCTCAAAAAGAGGGAAGGAAAGAACATTTACACACCCTGTTCTATGGGCTCTAAACAAGTATAATTTCAGACTCTAAGGAAACAGTCATGAAGGGCATCAAATAGAGTGTGAAGACTGTGAAGGTAAGAATTTAAAGGCTGACCTGGGAGATGAAGGATAAAAGTTCTTCCAGGCTCCTATTTTGGGATTTGTGATGTGTTTTACTGCAAAAACACTTTATTGCTATTTTTAAGTTTGGAAAGAGACAAAAAATTATATATGGACAAGGATGAGAATCCCACCTACATATCCTGGCTGTGGCTGCAAAGGCTTTTTGCCTGCCTTCTCTGGGTACTCTGGTACAGCTTTTGGAGGGAATGTGTTTGTGAGAAGGTGCCTTTCCCTTGTATCATCTTCTGAGAGCAGCAAGGGAAACCAGAACTGTAATTTCATTTCATAATGAGAGTGTCAGAAGGAATTATCGTGTGACTTCTGATAACAGCAGCCACATGTTATCTTTCCAAAGCTGTTCCAAGCAAAGCACAGAGGTGTGAGCCCCGTCAGGCTCCAGAGCTGCCTGAGTGAGAGCCACTGGGAAAGAAGAGCTACTGGAGGTGTCATGCATGGCTTGGACGCTAGAAGGAGATAAAAACCCACTGGAAACATCACTCTGCACTGCTGACAACCGCGGGCTTTGGAAGGGGGCCTCACCTGCCAGGGCTATGGCTTTCATTTCCGAGGGCTCGCTGGGGTTGCGCTGCAGTTTGCGCTTGGACACGGAGGAGGATTTTCCCAGGTTGAAGAAGGAACGCCAGCTCCCCACTGGAGACTTCTTCATCTTGCTGGGAGGCCTTTTCCTGGGGAGAGAAAATGGAACACATGGATGGAGGTGGGGCTGCAGCTCAATCCTGGCTGCTTGTTATCAGCACTCTCTGCTTTCTGCTCAGAAGCTCCTGGTTTCTGCTTGGAACCTCCCTCTTTTCCACAGCTGAGGATGTTTTCATTCTCCCAGCTCAGCCCTAAAGTCTTGCTGTGTAAATTCTTCCAACCCCCATAAAGCAGCTGCAGTGCAGGTGAGGAAAAGCTCTTCCTTGTCCAGTCCAGCAGCCAAGGGATGGATTTTCTGGAAGAAGCCCCAGCTCTCTGGCAAGCTGGACAGCCATAAAGGTGTTCAAAAGCATCTCTAACTCCTGCTATAAAACCACTTTAGTCTCCTCCACTGCTGTATTTAATTTCCTGTGTCCTCAAGCCTGTCCAACTGCTCCACTTCAAGGGAACCTGGATTTGTGACAGGTACTTAGTCCTGGAAAACCCCAACATCTGCAGGTGTTCACCCTGTTTACATTTCTGTGTGTGACTGGTCCAAGCATCTTTGCATCACAGACAACATGGATTTATATATTAAATGATATCCCTGGTGAAAACAACCAGGAGTGGAGCACAAATTATTTGGCTAAACCAAGACCACTGAAGGGCTGAATCCTCCCAGAGTCCAAAGCAGGTGGAAAATGGGCTACAATATTTACATATATAACAAGTCTCAAGTTAATATAAGCAAATTCCTGCTGTATTCAAAATAACATAGCTATGACACATGCTGGAAAGGAAACCTGTCTCTACCTTTCAGATGGGAAGTCAATGACTGTGTGGAATTTCCCCTGCAAAGCTGCTGGGCCTTCTCCCACTTCGATGTACTTGCTGTCTGCCATGATGGGAGAGTTGATCTGGGCCTGTGTCCGTGCCTGAGCCTCCTCCAGCGTGAGCAGCTTTGTGGAGGGGGAGGACACCAGCAGAGACTTGGGCCGGGATAAAGAGCTGTGCCCTGCAAGGGAAAACCACAGGCAACAAGGAAAGTCAGCAAACAGCAGTGCAGAGATCAAAGCTCAGCTCTGTGTGTCTAGGGAGGTGCTGTGTTTTTCTGAATCTGTTATCCCAACCATTGAAAGATGTGGGCAAAATGTGGTCACAATGTCACAGGTATGTTGATGACTAAAATAATAATGGCTTAAAAACAGAGGCAAACAGGTAGGATTGAAACCTTTGTGGCACACTTTCTTTCATCTGTATGCAAGACCCTGTAAAGAAAATGATTTTTTTCCTTTGTATAAAGCCTGTCTGGGTCATTCCCAAATTTCACCTCTCGGTGTAGCAGGAAATGCCATATGTGACTGAAGCTGCTATAAACCAAATGTACCTGGACACAGCAAACAGAATCTGCTGTGTGGCCTGCCCATGTCCTTCAGAGCTTGTGCCTCGTGATGGATGTGCAAAATCTGAAAGTAGCTGCTGCTGCCTCCTGCTGCTGACAGCTCCAGTGGAGAGATTACAGGGACCCTGTTGTAGGAGCAGCTGTCCTGTGTCTGCCATTGCCTCTTGTACAGGTGTTTCTAGGGTTATTCCCAGGTGAGTTCAGGGCTTTGGGGGAGATGTGCCAGTGCAGGACATCCTGCTTGGTCCAATTCCATGGCTGTCCCTGGAGCAGCACAGCTCTGTGTGAAGGATGCAGAGTCTGGGGGGTGTGGGAGCTGTAAATGTTGTCCTGGGTGAAGTTTGGGTTGAAACAGGTTTGGCAGCACCACTTCCCCCTCTCATAGGTGCAGGAGCTGTGCTCACATCCAGAGGCTCCCAGGAAGCCTGGAATGCAGAATTCCTGCACTTAGCCAACCCAACAGCCTGACCCTCCTCCCTTGCTAAGTCTGTGCCAAAGCCACTGAATGCAAATGACCAAGTCATTAAACTATTAGCCAAATTTACATGGGCCATTCTAAGCCTGGATAATCATCTGGCTGGGATTCTGAGCATGCTTATCTTCCTTCCCCTGGCAGAGTCAGCCTGCTGGGAGCTGCTGCTCAGCCAAGCTAACCTCTGGCTTCCATGGACTGCCCTACAGCAGGAGAAAAAGCTGCCAGATCAACTCTGCCAGCCTAAGCAGAGGTAAGGTTTGTTTAAAAGAAGGGAGCAGCAAATACAGTGGAAACCCAGCTCTTTGCAGTCCCCAGATGGTGGTAACTGCAGTAGCTGTGCATGTTCCAGGCAGAGGCAGTTTATCAAGACAGATGGTGCAGCCTTAATGCTGCTTAGGAGCAGAACAGCTTGTGGCAGCCACACTAACACAGAATAAACTTTCCTCCTGGTGCAACTCTGTTCCTTCTCAATGGAACAGATATATGGTCTCAGTTACTCAAGGGAATTTGTAGGCTCCAAGGCTGGATGACATTCCAGGTGCTCCAGGTTCATTCCTCATCCTAAAACAGCCAGCTTGAGCAAGAGCAAGATTTAAGTTTCTTAGCCTCAACATTACTGAAGAGAGACTGATTAACACCAGCTTGTTCCTATTTGTGTTCCAAGGTATGGATGAGGGCAGACAGACTTAGCTCCAATGGGTAAGTATGCAGGAGCACCAGTAAAGATGGTTTTTAAAAGGAGAAAGAGCAGGAGAGACAAAGATTTAAGTGATTCCTTGCAATTTCTCAGTGGTGGGATGTAAAGGTAGAAGCCAAACATTCATCTCTGCATTCCTGTGGGGCACCCTTGGCTTCTAAGAAAGGTCCTGACAGCAATTTCTAAAACCAGGCCATCTCTGTCTGGATTCTGCCATCCCAAGCCAGAAATGTGCCCTCTAGGTTAAAATAAGAACCATTTCCATGCCCAGAGGAGGCTCAGGCAGGCACGGAGTGCTGCTGCTCCTGCCTGAGTGAAGCAAGGCCAGAGGACACACCTGCCCCGTCGCGGATGACGGAGCTGAGCTTGGAGCTGAAGAGCACATCCACGTGGTTCAGGATGAACTCCACCACCACCGACTGGATCCGCACCTCCATGAAGGCGGCCGTGCCGCTGAAGCAGGCGGACTCGATCTGCTTGGACCTGCAAAGGGACACGGGAGAGGGAAGAGGCTCCTGCTGGGCGAGGCCTGGGCACCTGTGGGGCTGCAGGGCCTGGGGCTCGGGCAGAAAGGGCTGCAGGGTGGTTCTGGGGTTAAATCTCGGCAATGCTCACAAATGATCACTGACTGTGGGAATTTATGGACAAACTTCAGGTCCAGGTTCAAGCATTACTGACCAGGCAAGAGGAACACTGGGCTGGGAGGAAAAGGGAGCGTGGGACAGGTCTGAATTGAGGTTAATACACTGAACATCCAAAATCAAGAGCTTTTTGTTAACTCATCTCCATGACTGCCACGGTTTAAGGCAGTGTTGTACAAAGCTGCTGTGGCCTCTGAGATTTTCCCTCAAGCCGGGAGCATCTCCACCTGATCCTTCTGAATGAATGCCCCAGGACTCACCAAAGCAAACTCAAACACGAGGTCACTCCACTGCCTGTGGGAGAACTGCCAGAAAGAAGAGCCCACCTGCAGGAACTGGGAGTCTCCAAGGGCAGACTGGACAGGGCTTGGAGTAACCTGGGGAAGGTGTCCCTGCCCTTGGCAGAGGGTGGCATTGGATGACCTTTAATATTTCTCCCAACCCAAACCCTTCTGGGATTCCATGATGAACTGCACACTCAGATTTCTCAGGTTGGTAACGACAGGAAGTCAGAAATCAGTACAATAAAGGTTAGGGGGATAATATTTTTTTTCTTTTAAAGCAAATTTTTAAAGTTATACCATTAATTTTAAAGTGCCCTATCATCCAGATTCAAAAGAGATTTATCCAAGTTAACTTCTGTAAGTTTGAATTCTTGCAGCCAGAAGTTGTCAAATTAGACTCTAGAGATTTATGCAGTGGGAAATCAGTGATGCCACTGTAGAAATTCTCCTGGATGATCAAGGACACATCAGTTTCATCTAACCAGGAGAGGAGAAATTACCCTCTAAAAGAGGGTTCAGGGAATTCTTCCTTGTCACTACTGACAGAACTGCAGCCAGTGGAACTGTGTTGTGTGAGACAAGATAATACAGGGGCTGTTTTACATCACTCATCAGAAACTTGCCAGCTGATCTTAAATCCTGCTTAGAGCAATTCCCCATATATTACAGGAGGAGAAGAGCACATTGGGTCAAGAGAGGAAGAGCTCTTTCCAGCTGCTGAAAGCTGGGATTTTCTGGACTATCTGTTGTTTATGAATGTAAACATTTCTTTTGTATTGAAATGGGAAAAGCCCAGAGTACCTGAGGAGGTTTGGAGCCCAGACGATGGCCAAGTTCTTGGTGTGCATATTTGTGATGGAGCAATAATCAGCCAGACGAGCCAAGTGTCTCATTAGGAACTCCAGTGTCCTGGAAAACAGCAGAGAGGCAAATGTTGAGCACCACTGAGCAAAGCCAGGCCAAGATCCAAAGCACAAACCCAGCACATTATTTCCTTTTGGTTTGACAGCTCCCAGAAAGGAATGCTGAACTCTTTCCCCTCATCCCCACGGTAGACCTGGCTTTGGCAATACTAACACAGGATGCACTGAGGGGAGGCTCTCCTGACTGGTCCAGGCTCAAGAAAATGACAGATTCAGGAAAAACCCTCTGTAGGTGTGTGACAGCGATGAGGGGCTGCTCAGGGATGTGTGGGGAAGGATGTGGAATGCTAATCCCGGGATGGGGGGAGTATTGATTTACACACTCCAGAATACTGAAAATACTGGCAGCAGGCTTCTCAGAGGTGGGTAAGGCAGATGGAAGGTTAAACGTCAGAGGCTTCTGTTCACATTAAAAAAAGGTGGCATTAAATATTAATATTAAAAAATATTAAGCACTGTTGTATTTAATACATGCTAGGTAGGAGGGAGCAGGAGGTGGCAGTGAAAATGCTGCTGTACCTTCCTGGTGCTCCTGGCTTGTGTCTGTCTCACAGCCTATTCTTTTTTGGGGGGAAGCAAGATAGAGCAGAGAGGGTGTTTTGGGGCTCAAAATTCCACAAATAGACAAGATTGGAAGTGAAGAAAATGGCTTTGTCTGGAAACCAAACAGACACCTCCTGCCTGCAACTTCTCATCACTGAGCAGCAGAAAAATAAAGTGTTTTTTCCTTTTTTCAAGCAAACCCCAGGAAAGAAGAGCAGCACCCTGTGACCTACAGCAGTCCTGCTGTTGGCTGTGCCCCCTCTCTGGGACTCACGTGCTGCTGGTACCAGAACTCAGTTTAACCAGCCCCATAAGGTAAAAATCATTTCAGGGAAAAGGTGAACAGAAAAGAAAGAGATCAGTTTATTTCTGAAAGGGCCACACCTCCTCAATTAACATCAATATTGCAGTTAGTTACTACAAGCAGCAGCTGTTGCACCAACTAGCCAACCTTATTTGAAGAGCAAGTAACACAGTTGTAGTTTATAACACATCAATTAATTTTTATAATTAGTTATTTATACCACTCATTGCAGCATTGCAATTGTCCAGCTAATCGCCACACATCACAGTAACTGAAACGGAAACATTTATAGGCAGGAATGACTATAAATAGTTATCCACACCTCTTCTCATGTGTTACACCTGACCCCTTAGACCAGAATTCTGACTTTACCTGCAGATTAACATACATTACCATAATCAATTGCGATTGTAATAAAGTATTCTAATTAGTATGAATAGCCAAATACTGCCTGCATTCACCCCAAATGGTCACCTGAACAACTGGGACACATCAATTAAAATAATTACTTATCTGTAAATAACTTCCACCATATACTGTCATTAGCTATTTCTACCAATTACAATTCACAATTAGTGAATGTTTCTTACCATGCATCACTAGTTATTAATATTAAAGTCTCATTAAGATATAGTTTTCTATATAGTTATTAAAGCAAACCACCAATACCAATTTGTCTAATACCTTTTCACCATACCCTGCCATAATTTTTAATACTAAAGACATAAAATGTTGTTGTTCTTAGTCAAGACTCATTATCATATAGCATGAGTTCTTATTACTACTAATTAGCTTGAATATAGTATTTTAATTGGTGATTTTTAAACTTCATATTATGCTACTCTAATACATTACAATAATATAATTAATGGCATCAGTTATTCTCAGAGCATTTTTGTTATTTGTTTGTTACTATTATTGCAGGGAGGGGCAGACTGGAGACAAAATACAATTCACCAAGTCTGGCTGAAGGTCTGAGCAATTTTTTGGCTATATTTCAATTTTTTTTTTAAAGTGCTTTTAGCACTGGTATTGTGCCCCCCCCAATCAAACTGCTTCCTTACTCTGACATAACAAGCTCCTATTCCCCTCCTAGATGGAGTTTCCAAGGATGTGAAGATCATGTTTAGTGTACAGTGTTTGGTAAGGAGCTAATTAAAATACAAACCAAATTTCTACAGCCATTTCGATATGTAGAGGGAGGCACAGTGTGCCTGTCTTGAGAGGGAAACTGGAATTCCTCTCACAAAATGCCCACAACACCCCAAAGGCTGCACTCACCTGTAGTGGGGAGGGGGCAGCTGCTGGATCACATCGTGGATCTTAACCAGCCTTTCCTCATCTGTAGCAGCAGAAACAGCATCCTAGAATGAGGCAGGAAAGGGTTTAGCTGCAAATAAACCCGCAACGTGCCAGCCTTGCCAGTGAGTGGGTTTTGTTGCTCTTCTCCCCTTTGGGTAAGGGGGTCTGTCTTGAGGACAGAGCAGTATATGGGTCGTGTAAGGAAGGGCAAGTAAGCCATGATCTGGGGCATGTAAATAGCACAGAGAATTCCTGCAGAAGACATTTGGCTCAGAGCAGCATTTGCTTCCAGTCCCGTTCCTGGGAAATGGCGAACGAGAAGGGAATTCCTGCAAAGCATGGCAAATGTGCCAGGGCCTTCTGCTGTGGCCCCACAAGTGGACACAGGGGACAAAGGCAGCTCTGAGTGACCTAAAGGGGGCACAGAAAAGGCCCCTCAGACCCCAGGGCACTGCCAGCCCCTTCTGGAATGGCAGGGTGAAATCGGGAGTGTGGGCAGCACAGTGTCAGGCTGTGAATTTTCGTGACACACCCAACTGAGGCAGAGCAGAGAGGGAAGTGTGTGGAAGGCAGGTCCAGCTTCCAGGATTTCTCTGCTCTACCAGCTGACAGCCACTGAAGGGGGAAGTGCCCACATTTGCCTTGCACTCACTGAGAACTTCTCGTAGAGCTGGTAGGTGAGCAGGGGGTTGGGGAGCTCTCGGAAGTACAGCTTGCACAGGGAGCCCACACAGTGGATGTCCTGGATGTAAATGTCCTTGGTCAGGTCGGGAATCTGCTCGGAGTCAAACTCGTGGCTGGCAATGAGAACAGAGAAATGGGTAAAGGGCTTTGAGGAGGAGGAATGAAATCAAACCCAGCACAAAATTACAGCAAGGCTTTCCTGATTTACAGGAAAAAATAAACACTTAGTCACCAAAACCACATGACCCATGGCTGTGGGGCAGCCATTTGGGATATTTTTCAAAAAAGAGACTTTTCCTTTTTCTAATAAAGCATTTTCAGTTAATTTTATGACCAACTGGCTGCAATCCCTTTTGCTGCATCAGGGCTTTTTGCAAAGTCTCCAGAGAACATCTTCCAAGACCACAAGTTAAACTCCCAAGGGCTGTGACTGGGATTGCCCATAGCAACCATGAAAGCTGCTGTCCCTCTGCATTTCAAAGGCCTGGAAATGGCAATGATAAAGTCCTGCCAGCAGCACTTCCATCAGCAGCACATGGAAACCAGTGAGTGCAGAATTCCTGGGGGATGAGCTGGTGAGCTGCCGCTGCTACAGGGAGAAGACAGCCAGGAACCACATGAAGAAAACCCCATAGCACTCCCTTGGTTTCCAGAGAGAGACAAAATCCCAATCACCAATGTTTATGAAATAAAAGCTGAGCTCAGAAGGCCAAGGGCTGGCTTGCTGCTGGAATATATGCTGGGAAATGCTGTTTCCAATTAGCAGAACACTCTAGGGGGATGAGAATTGTGAGCCAAGCCCTGGAGCTGGAGAACCTTGGGGTCCCTGCCACAGTCTTTAGGCTGCTCACAGCCATGGGGACTCATCCTGCCAGCACTGCAACCACAGTGAGTGGGCTGGGTGAGGTGGCCATCCCTGTCCCTGTCCTGTCCCCCACCCAAAGCTGGCAGGTTGTGCCCAGCGGGTCAAACAACCCCTGAGCTCACCCCGCCTGAGGAGCAGAACATGCCCAGGGCTTCAGGTGTGTTGGTAGCTGAGCCCTCCTGGAATCAGGGTGAGCTCCTTCCATCCCTGGACATGGACACAGCTCATGGGAAGCCTTTCACTCCCATCAGACAAGGGGCTGGAGAGGTCCCCACCTTCTCAGGGTGAACAGCCCATCCCTTCCTCACCCTGAGGACAGCAGAGGAAGAAAGGAAGGATTCTGTTTTCCACACCCCAGTGTCCAGCATGCACCACTTCCACAGGCATCGTCTGACTCACCCTTTGCTCATGTCTGGGACAGAAACTCAGCTCCTGCACTTGGCTCTGCAGAAAAGCCCAGGAAGGCATCAGCCCACCCCACACAAACACACTCAGCCCTGGCTCAAACTCCCTGCCCAAATCCTGCCCTACTCCAATGGTTTTTCTTAGGAATAAAGGTCACACTGTGTCAAATGTTCCCTTGCAGAAGTGAATATGGAGGAAAGAGAGGGATGCCTCACCACATCCAACCCTCCTCCTCTATGCACTGGCTGTTTCCAGAGTTACATGTTATTCCTTCTGACCCAAAGGAAGATTTTGTTAGGTGAAGAACAACTCCACAGCTTCTCAAAAAGAGCCAGGAAACCAGGATACAGTGATCAACACCCCAAATCAATGGTGGATGTGTGCCTACCCACCAAATAAAGACAGCTACTGCCCTACTGAAGAGCCAACATCTGTCCCATGGAAATCTCCCATGTGGAATAAATTCTCTAACCTTCTCTCCAACCAAAAAGTCCTTTAAATCCAGGAGATCCAGTTCTTCTATGGGAAACCTAAGCACAGTGATTCATTTATAAGGATACTACAGCCCCAGCTTTGGAATGAGCCTAATGCCCTGTTTATACAGCTGGGAACTGCAGCAAGCCATATCTTATGTTCAACAAACACTCAGAATCTGTAGTGATTTACATGAACAGAACAGTGTCAGTAAGGTATGCCATGTTCTCCCTTTTGTCTTTGGAACATCTCAGAAACCTGGAAAACAGGCTGTCACTTCATTCTCTGCACTACAACAGGGAATGATGCCATTACAATTTTAGAAAACCATTTTTAAAGCACCTTTGATACACAATGAAGGAGAAAATTGTCTTGGGAACACAAAAGGAAAACAATGGACTAGGACAGAGATTGGATGGATGGTCCAGCACACGTCAAAATGGGGAATAAAGGGATGTAACTGAAGCAATATTTTATTCAGTCACAGCTCCAGTCAGAGCCTTTAGATCCTGGATATCAAAATCTTGGGGCCAGATTTTTAAAATGGAACTTCCTGGGATAAGAAATGGGATTAATCTGAACCAGAACAAACCTATCCATCCAAGGGTCTGAACAGTCACTTTACCAGCTCAAACCTGCCCACTGAACAGCTGGTACAAAAAAGATACTCTGCCCATGGCAAATAGCCCTGTACTGCTTCTGCCAGGCCATGGTCCCAGGAGCAATGCTGGTGAGTCACATCCACTCAGCACATCAATGCTCCACAGCAGGACATTCTACACCAAACAACAGGAGGACAACAGCCTCGTGAGAGAGGAAAGAAAATTTGCTGTGGTGGGAACAGCTCCTAACCAGAACACACTCCTGGCCCTTCCTTGTGCAGCACAGCAATGCCCCCTCACCAGACTCAGGCACACATCCTTTGCACATTCCCAATTAACTGCTGGTAAGCCAGGAGCCCAAGGCAGCAGGGAGAAACATCACCTGCTCCAAAGGGCTCCTGGAGAGAAGGAACAGAAATGAAACGTGACCGCACAGTGACACCAGGATCCTGATACTCCATCCTGCAGGATGAGTCTGCCAGAGGAAGCCCTGGTTGTGCCCTGCCCTGCCAGGGGCTCCCAGGCAGGCCCTTACCGGAGTTTCTGGATGTTGGAGGCGATCCCGGAGAGCCGGTATATCCCATCCACAATGCCGTGCTTCTCGATGAACTCCGTGCAGCTCTTGAGGACCTGGGGCACTGAACAACAACAGCCATGGTTAGAACAGACCTACTTCAGGCTGTGCTCCTGGCAGGTGCCATAAACTGCTCCCACCTGGGCCACGGCTTTCCTTCCTCCTTAGGAGAGAAAGCCTGTAGAAAATTTAACTTCAGGAGTTGATGGGGAAACTGGTCAGAGGTGTTCCTGCTTTAACAAGGGAACGCCAGAATATGAATCAGGTCAAAAAAAGCCAGTTCTGGTCAGAGACAGTGAAGGTCCCATGGCAACTCCCACAGGAAGTGTGCTGTAAAATCCCATTCCAGAAGAGCTGTAAAATGGAATAAACACTATCTTTCAAATCTATACAGGATTAACCTATCTTGCTTGGTTTAAGGAAATATAAACATCAGGGAGATGCTACTTTTGGAGACAGGAGAGCTTTTACAACTGATAATTTTATCCCAGAGCATGGCTGGATATGGAGAGCTCCACAGCATCGCACACTCACAGAAAGTGCAGACCGAGCAGGGCATGACAGAATGGAAAAATCAGCCCAAGGGATATAATTAGGTGTCAAGTTAATATTGCAGCCGCTTCACCACCCCATTCCTTCCAGCTGGCTTCCCAGGCTCATGCACATCCAGTGCTGGAGCTGTGTGTCCATCCATGTAAGCTTGAGGAGGAGCAAATCACTGGATTTACAAAAGGCACTAAAACTGTCCTGAACGCAGAGAGAAAACCAGGGTGGAGCTGCTGGAAAAAGCTGGCATCCTTGTGGATGGCCCTGCCAGCCAGGTTTTTGCAGCAGCTCCTGTGCTGACCCCAGTGTGTTCTTCAGATGCCAGTCTGATCAGTGTGACAGCCATGCCGAGCAGGTTATGTGGCAAATCCCCTGCACCGCAGCAAATGCCATCTGCCAGGCAGGCGGCTCCCAAGGGCTGCTGCACTTGGATGCTCCGAGCTCCCCACAGCCTGCACAAGGCTCCTTCTCCAGCCTGCAGCAAACCCTCACAGCTGGAGGAAAGGCTCATTTCAGATGGCTCCCTG